GGCGACAGAGAGGTATATAGCAGCAGTGGCAGCAGCAGTAGCAGTCGCAGCAGAAGCAGCACCAGCAAAACCATTACAACCAACATCAGCGCCACCACCAGCGTCGGCACCAACGGGAAGAGCAGCATCAGCACCAGCAGCAACAGCAGCATACGTCTGACGGTTAAGAATTTGTGTGTTGCCCTGACAGCCCGAAATTCCGGTTAATATCGACCCGCCCGCCGCATCATCCAAACGGGGACGGATTAACTACCGCTGCTGCTGATGATGATGATGATACGTATGCGCTGTAGGCTGCTGTCCCCACCAAGGCAATTCTAGGAGAGTCATCCTGTAAACGACGAGCAGCAGAAACTAAACACATAACAGAGCAGCAGCAGTAGCAACGAGAGTGGCAGCAGCGGCACCAGTGCCAATCGCAGCCGAATCGGCGCAGCAATAGCAGTGGCAGCAACAGCAGCAGAAACAGTGGCGGCAGCAGCTACAACAACAGTGGCAGCAGCAGTGGGAGCAACAGAAGCAACCGATGGGCACAACGGCAACAGAATAACGACAAACACAGACACACAAAAAGAAAGACACAAACAAAGGGAAACAGACAGACAATAAGAAGAAAGGGACAAGTGGAGAAAGAAGAAACATGCTGGCGCGGAACCGCTCGTCGTCTTCTTATTTCTTCCTTCACCTCCTTCGGTGCCTCCTACAAGCCCCATGCTAAGCCCTAAACCTTAAGCGCAAGACCTATACGACTGTTACTAGTAGTGCTATCTTTGTTTCAGGCTTTACGAATCGTTGGTGGCTCCCCGATGGCCACTTCAAAGGTGGTTTAAGCGTCCCCAATGCTCTTGGTGGCCCCCCTCATCCTTTGGGGTCCCCTTTGGTGCCATTAACGGCCCTCTGTGCGCTTGGGGGCCCTGCTGTCGCATGGGGCCCTCTGTAGCATTCGGAGTACCGCCGTGGCATTCTGGGCCCCCCTTTGGATGTGGCGGCCTCCTATATGCCCTTTGGAGCCCCTAAGGCGGCAGTGCGTTTTTGTGGGCCACCCTGGCGATTGCAGTATCAAATCGGGGGCCTCTTGTGCTGCCGAGGAGGCCAGAGGGTCTGACGATGATGCTGTTACATACGAAGGCCTCTCCATCTCCCCTAGGTGGCAGCAGCAGCAGCAGCAGCATTTGTAGCAGCAGCAGCATCAGCAGCAGGAGCGGGAAGGTGTGCGACCCCCAGCACGAAGAGAACGCAGATAAAGAGACACAAAAGGATTCCTCAAACGTGTTGCGACAGCTGTTGCTGCT